TCTTTGATCAAAACATGGTTATTGTCTTTGACTAATAAAGCACTTTTTAAATACAGACTAACCCTTTGATTTCAATACATTAAGAGCTTGGGCCAGTGTCTAGTTGGAAGAGGAGCTATGGGACTTGTCTTGAGGTTGCATACAGTTAGCAAGAACACTTTTTATTTAGAGCAATAAAAATAGTAGTTCTCTAAAGATACTTTTAGTCTCATAAGAATCTTCCTTAAGTTTTAAAAGCTGTCTGCTCATAATGACCTCTGCTGGGCATATGTTCCTTTAAAATCCATCATGGTAGCTTTTAAGAATTTTGAAGAGGGCTGGAGTTGTGGCTCAGTGGTAGAGTGCTTGCCTAGCATGCACAAGGCACCGGGTTTGATCCTCAGCACCACAGAAATGCAAAATAAAGATATTGGGAAAAAAAAGAATTTTGAAGAAAGAAAATCATTTGGGCTTTGGATTTGGTTACAAAATAAAGCCATATTTTGCTTGGAAATGTACCCTTCCCATGGAAGTCAACGTTCCATTTTGCCTAATGAAAGGAAGATGGGGAATGGAGGGTAGCTTTCTACCTGATATGTGGCATGTGGGGAAAGATAAATGGGATTGTTGTTGGAATCATAAAGTTCTATTGTTCCTACAACAAAAGAATATTCAGATAAGATCAATATAAAGTGTCAGTGTTCAAATAAGGACACATTTACACAGTGGTTTCTTAATGCTACTTGCTCATACTTCTTGAACTATGGATTTTTCTAATAAAGAAACATTCATAAAGTCCATTTTCATGGTCTGCATGGAGTGTTTTCATTTTATTTAGATAATAATTTTCATATCAAGAAAATTTATATAAATAATCCATATGCCCCTCATGATCATATTGTAGTTGACTTTACCAAAAAGGGATGGAATCATTCACTGAGGAAATGATTCTAAATCTGATTTTTAGGCTCCCATGGCAAACAGTGGAAAGTTTGATACACACCCAACCTTTACAGTGGGGGAATCATTGTTATATTACAGCACTCCACCCTCAAAACTGAAATACCCTGTAGATTTATTATCTAAATGGGCTATCTAAATGCATTTATATCTAAGTGTGACTCTGGGCTACTGAGAAGAAGAGTAAGCCAAGTTGCCCATGGTATAAAGATGTATATGTTTATGAATATGTGCATATTTATATCTTTACATATATCACTCATGAGATATAAAAAGTGACATGAAGTAGATGCTTAAAAATGTTTGCTGAATGGCTAGGCTCGGTAGCACACACCTGTAATCCTAGAAGCTTGGGAGGMTGAGTCAGGAGGATCGAGAGTTCAAGGCTAGTAGGCTAGTCTCAGCAATAACAAGGTGCTAAGCAACTCAGTGAGACCCTGTCTCTAAATAAAATACAAAATAGAGCTGGGGATGTGGCTCAGTGGTCAAGTGAGTTCAATCGAGTTCAATCCCCAGTACCAAAAAAAAAAAAAAAAAAATTTTAGCTGAATCTTCATTACTCAGTAGGCATATGGATATTAAACTGACTCAAAAAATGTTTTAAGGCTTAATAATGTGATTTCAAAGCATTCAAGGAATTTCACTTTCCTTTTYCCCTTCTGGTTTTCCTGTTAAGCTATAGTCTTGATATTTCCATTAATTTTTATGAGACCTTAGTTTCCTATTAACTGAAGAAAGGAGATTTACTAGAAGTGTCCAGTTACTTGAAAGTATAGTTTCCTTATACCTTTCCTTTGTTTTAATTAGCATTTATCTAGCTTCCTCATTCCAAGTGAAAAATTAATTTATATTAGTGGAGACAAATGTAATAGAGAAATCACTTTCTTGGCATTTCCCCAGGTAAACTTTCTAATAACCCTCTTTTTGCTGCCCAGTATCTTCTAACTCCTTGGTCTGGGTGTCTCTGAGTAGAAAGATGGCACAAGGAATACAAAAAGGAGTTTACAGAGAGCATGTTCTTCGAAGGGTCTTCTAAATACAACACTTCACAGGGCTGGTTTGGCATGGCTGTTTGAAGTTACAGGTTCTCTCTGACGAGAGAAGTACTGGTGTTCTAAGTTGCTGATAAAGAAAAAGTCATAGGATTTAGAAACCAAAGTATCAGGTACTCATAGCATGAAAATGGAGGCTTCTCCCGCCATGGCCTCTCTGGATGGGAAAACGAATCACTCGACCTAGACCACAAAGGTAACTATATAAGTAATGCCAGAATTTTCCTCAGGAAGCTTTGWTGGATCTTTTCCAGAGTAGGAACAATTGTTCAATTAAGTCCCCAGAATTCCATGCCATAGGGAAAGGCAGAAACTATTCTGGCCTAGAAATTTTTCAGGGAAGGTGCTCTTAATTGCTGGATGTGGCTTTAGAAAAGTCTCCTGTTGACAAGAATCACTGATTTTCAACTACTTTGCCTAGACTCATAAAGATGAGTAAAGTACAAAATGTGTTCCTTGGTATGTGAATGGACTGAATTGTTTTATGGGGTTATTTAATCAACCAATCAGATGTATGTGAATCTGATTTCAATTTAAATATGTTACTATGGAATCATTAATATGGAATCATTAATACTATCAGTAATTTGGTATCAGGACCTTAGCTATAAAAGTTACTTTATTTTCTTTCTTTTCTCTTTTGCAGTATTGGCAATGGAAACCAAGGGTACTCAACCACTGAGTTACATTCCCAGATCTTTTTATTTTTGAGACAGGATCTAACTCAGTTGCTGAGGCTGGCCTCGAATTTGTGATCCTCCCACCTCAGCCTCCCAAGTTGCTGGGATTACAGGTGTGAGACAGTGTGCCTGGCTAAAAGTTACTTTTAAATATCACCTTATTAGTAACATCAGAAAAGCATATAATGTTCAGTTAGCATCTTTCTTTGCAGTTAAACACCCAGCAAAATTGCCTCTATCAGAAGGGGGGCGTGAAGGGAGCAATTCCAACAGATTTAAGGACCAGTAGATATCTGCAACAAAGAATGTAGTAAGCCAGCCCATCAAGGACATAGCATTGAATTCACACCCCTCCCTGAGAAGTAGATCATGGGTTTTCCCATTTTATTCATATGGATACACAGCTGTAATCCCAGCAGATTAGGAGGCTGAGTCAGGAGGATCATAAATTCAARGCCAGCCTAGTAATTCAGTAAAACCTTGTCTCTAAATAAAATACAAAATAGGGCTGGTGGTGTGGCTCTGTGGTTAAGTGCCCCTGAGTTCAATCCCTGGTACCAAAAAAGAAAAAAAAAAAAAAAAGAAAGAAATACCAAATTAAGTAATGCAAAAGGTCTTACACTTAGTAAGTCGAAAACAAAACTTCAAATGCAGATCTTTTAACTAAGTCCAGTTTTTTTTGAGACAGAACCCAAAACATACAACAGAAAGCACAGCTGTGTGTGGTGTGGGAATTTGACACCTGAATCTCATCTCACAGATCTGTAACCCAACATGAAAATTTAGACGACCATTCATCTCAAGCTGCTACCTTAAGTTCCACTGTATAAAACCCATTTTTTAAATTTTTATTTTTTTAGTTATAGGTGGACACAATATCCTTATTTTATTTTTATGTGGTGCTGTGGATCAAACCCAGTGCCTCAACAATTCGAGGCAAACGCTATTCCTCTGAGCCACAATCCCAGCCCTATAAAACCCATTTTTAAAGTAAAAAAATTTGCCAAGATTTGTCCTAAATAGTTAAACTTCCAAGTCTGTCTTTCCTCCCTTCCTCTAACCCTTGTACTTGCCTAAATGTCACTAATTCTGGGTCCCTGGTTTCCTGCCTTAACCAGGTTTTGCAGTTGCCTCAGGAGGAGGAAGCAGAGGATGGAGAAGAAGGGAAAGCAGAGAGGGGCAGGAGGGATGAGGGGAAGGAGGAGGCAAGAGAGATTGTTGCTGACTTTATTCTGGATGGTCRACTAGAGTTTCAAGAGAAACTCAACCTCTGTAGGACCTTTGGCTCAAAGAATCATGACACCAGGAGAGTCCAAATGGAAGGTCACAGATCCGAAAGCACCTAGTTCCATCTCTTGGTTTATAGATACAAAAACTGGATCTAAAGAGAGAGAGGACTTGTCCAGGGTCACACAGCTAATTGCTAGAACAGATGTCATTATTGCACTGTATAAAGATGTACAAATCTTAAAGTACTTTTATACACTTTATTTCATTGCTTCACAACAGTCCCCTGAGATGTGCCTGTCAAATGTCACGTAAGTGAACAATTTCCTTTTTACTGTACCATTAGAGAAGTAACTTGTAGATTGCGTAAGAAAAACCAAATAGTTTCTAAAACTGACTTAGATCCTAAAATTAGTCTTACAAATGAGGAAACTACTTTGGAAAGAAAAATGTCTGGCCCCAAAAAGCATTGCTCAACTAATTACTAAAATTATTTAAATTATTACTAAAATTCAGGAAAAATCCTATATCTTTTAAAAAATTATTGGTTCTTATTATACATATTTATAGGGTAATGTGATAGTTTGATACCTATATATAATAATCCAACCAGAGTAGTTAGCATTTCCATCTCCTTAAATATTTTTTAAATGTTTAAAATTTACATATAATAATTGCATCAGTTTGAGGTATATAGTATGATATCTCCTTTTTATGCAGAAAAAAAATACAGAAGCCTAGTCTAACTAACTAGATAACCCACATATACTTTGGATGACACTGACATTTAATCTTGAGAGTTTTAAATAAAATATTATGTATTTTTAATATGATTTCATTTTGAAACATGAATCAATTAACATTCTAGATATATGGGCTTTTGGATGATATAATGCTTAAGTTATTTAGTATAAAAGTATATRTAATATTTATGAGTCAGACTTGGACTAGAAAGAATTTGTGAATTAAGAGAAACTTAAATTTAGTGTATCTTTGTGCATGTGTAAGTAAAGAGAAAAACTTACTTTATGAAACAATAACTTTAAAAAACAAGATGAGAAGGCAATTTGTAAATAATACAAGTAAAATTTTTGTTTTCCAGGGTCTAGTTCGGGTTCAAAATTAAAAGGTCCTGAGCTGAGTTTAAAAGGCACCCAGCACGTCATGCAAGCAGGCCAGACACTGTATCTCAAATGCAGGTAAGTGACTGTGCTGGTTTGGGAATAATCTACTTGTCCTTCCCAGGGCCCAACTCTTATTTCCCTGGTAGAATRGAGAGGTAGATTTTAGTGGTCTCCTGTGATCTGCAAAGTTCAAACCACCACGTCTCCAGCTTCATATGGAGGGGAAAGAATTATTCACTAGGGAAATGGGGCAATGATGCTCATTTTTGCAACTTTGTTCTCAGTATTGTTCAAAAGGTTTTTTTGAACATGCTTCTTTTCTATAAAGACGAAGATGACTACACTTAAGAGAAGACAGAATAGTGCTTGCCAATAAAATGAATGTTTAGGAACTGTTGCTGAGCCTTGGCCCCAGTCTTGATTGTGTTTTATTTTCTTATTTACAATTGCAGGGGGGACTCACCCCATTCATGGTCTTTGCCTAAAATTGTGAGTAAGGAAAGCAAAAGACTGAGCATAACTAAATCTGCCTGTGGAAAGAATGGCCAACAATTCTGCAGTACTCTGACCTTGAACATGGCTCAAGCAAACCACACTGGCTTCTACAGCTGCAAATATCTACCTATATCTAGTTCAAAGAAGAAGAAAGCAGAATCTACAATCTATATATTTATTAGTGGTAAGACTTCCATTCCTATGTTCTGTTTGCTATTGCTTGGCAGAGGGCTTTAAATCTACCCTGGTCCATTGGAAAAGTGCCTTTCCTAGAGAGTATCAAACAAATGGACCAGGAAAGAGATTACAGCCTAGTTGTAGAACTTAAGAGAATTCAGTTTTGCATAATGCATTTGAACAAGAATTTTTAAGGCCTAGTCAGTGAATTGTACACTCCATAAGATAAGAGACTCTTGTCTATTTGGCTCACCATTATACCCATAACATGTAGAAGTGTCTGAATGGATAATAAATGGTAAGATCTTAGTTCTATTTCTTAATTATTGAGAAGCCTAAAATAGGATATATGATTTTGGTACTTTAACACACTATATTGTCTTATATTTTAGAATCATAAATTTTTTTTTTCTAGGCTAGGGAAAGTAGCTCAATAGTAGAGCACATGCTTAGCATGTTTGAGGCCCTGGGTTTGATCCCAGCACAACACACACAGACACACACGTAGTTATTTTTCTTCTAAATTAATAAATGTAGTATTATTATTTTCTCTTAAACATTACAAAATTGGTTCCAGTTGACAATGGTTTATTATTTCATGTTCACTGAGCAAATATTATATAAGAACTGGCATACACCACTGAATAGTGAAAAGGACAAAAGGTAAAACTGAATCTCTCTCTCTTTCTTTTTCTTTCTTTTGGTGGATCTAGGGTTCAATCCAGGGCCTCACACATGATAGGCAAGTGCTCTACCACTGAGCTATATCCCCAGCCTGAAATGAATCATTTTTGGTTATAATTTCTATGATACTGTTTTTTCTGTCCTTAGAGAATGAGCAAATGAAGTAATAATATTCAAAGGGAAGAAATGAAAAAATTTTAAGGAAGTATACATTGAAAACAGAATTGGATCCCTGAGAAAGAATATAAAAGTGCCCTGTTGTGTTTCTCTTTGTTTAATCCAGTCAATTTCCAAAATCATTGAGGGGGATCTAGAGACCATAAAGCAAAATTGGTAGACACCTCAGGCACAAAATTAAGTTTAAAAAGTACATATGGTGGGTCTTCCTCCTCATGAACTAAAGAACAGGATATTTGCTTAGTAGGCAATATAGTAGATTTAACATCTTGGTGCGATTCTTKTTTAATTTTTGAAATAAGGTAACTAGACAATGTTTTACTCATGCATAATCTCTAACTCTCCAGATTTAGTATTAGTCTTAGGAGACTGAACAGTTTCATGATATTGACAGTTACCTCTTTAGCTACTATCAGCCTGATGTTGACTGAGCCAGTGTTATATCCCTATTCTTCAAACTGTTCTGACCTGTACTTTTCCTGGGTAGCTAACTGTAAGGACTACACATCCTAGCGGTTTGCCACTGTAGGGATGCATCAGCCTACTTACACATAGAGTAGGCTGCAGACAGGGACCTGGGTATAGAAAGTCAGCACACGTCTGTGGGAGGGAAAAGGGCAGAAAATGGAGCAGAGTTGGAGATGGTACAGAATGAAGAATAGAGACTTTGAGAGAGGCAATTTTGCAGCTCAGAGGGAAAGAAGACACAATGCMTGATAGTGGTGGTGGTGGTGGGGGGGAATTATACTTGGCCATCTGTTTTCTTTTTCTGGTTCCAGAGTGTATTATTATATTTTTTTCCAGTGCTTGAATAGAAAAGAAAGCACTTTGCAGTGCTTCCTAGAGACTCCTATCTCTTTGGAGGAGTGGGACTTTAATACTAAAATTCGCATAAACTTTTCTCCTGTGGGTTTATCAGAGTCTGACTTGCAATTCAGACACACAAATAAATAAAGGAAGACCTTAATGTGTCTTCTAAAAACAACATTCAGTTATTCTCCCTTTAATTCCTACAGAMACAGGGAGTACATGATTTACTCCAATCCCCTTCTATGTCGGAACAGATATGTAGCTACTTAGAATTATTTACACTACCCAACGGAGCAGATCTGGCAGATAATCATGACTTTGAGTGTTAAATCAATTGTTAATCTAAGCCTCATGAAGGCAGATCTGTGTCTGTCTGATGACTCTTCTTATCTGTAATGTGCCTCCCCAGGATGGTGCTTGACAAATGGCAAAAACTCAGTATTTGTAAAATGAATGAATGAACTGGTTAATAGGTGCTTGTGGAATACTATGTTAAAATTGATATTGAGGCTAAATTCCAGGTCGAGTACAAGGAGTGCCATGAGATTGGAGAGTTGTGGCCATTATTTCATGGACTCACAGCCTCTGCTCTCCTGTAACAGTAGCATCAGGTTACAAGTTCCAATATCTCAAAACTCTGCACAATTTGTTAGACTTTAGGAAATTGTCTATTTCAAAGACTCTTTTAGGAGAAGAAAGAATTGTGAAATGCAGAGTGTTTCATAGGCATTTCTTGTGAAATACATACAAATACAGTCCATAGTAAGAATATTATGAGATCACTGGAAAATTGTAAAGGAGGTATCATGAGATTGATCATTTTTAAATAGCACTAATACTAAAAGATGTTTGGCTAATAATGGTAGTCACAGAGGAGCATCCTGAATCTTACTTGCTTACTAATTAATCAACAAATATTTAGGGAACATGCTATGTGCCTATAGCTGTCCTCCTATGAGAAGTGACACCTATTTTGTTATCTTTTTCCTGGCAGAATGTTATTAGTCTCATAATCATACCTTATAAAAGTCCAAAGTAGCTGTGATATAATTCTTTAAACAATTATAATGTTTCCAAATCGCCCAACATTTTATGTATTTCTGTATTTATTATTTTATTAATTCCCTTTTGGAGCAAATTTGGTCTTCTGCTTTCATTTTTATCAAACACTTCTATTACAGGTTTATTTTAGTTCAGGGGCACAAAACTTGGTCTCTGCTGACTCAGAGGATTATCTCTGGGATTAATATAACTCCAACCATTTTTTGATTACTCACTAGATAYACAGCTGTGATTCCTCACTAAATACAAACTGGCTATCATGTATTTATTGTTGAATATTTACTTCAGAACATGTTGTTCTGTTTGAAGGATTTCTTATCCCTGAAAAGCATCTGCAGATGTGTTGACATTCATTTTAGTTTTTAAAAAGAGGGGAAACCATCTTTTGATATCTTCTGAAAAAGCAAACCTGTAGTCTATAGTATTTTTTGGTTTTTGTTTTTGTTTTGGGGGTATTAGGGATTGAACTCAGGGGCACTCGACCACTAAGCCACATCCCCAGCCCAATTTTGTATTTTTATTTAGAGACAGGGTCTGACTGAGTTGCTTAGCACCTCACCATTGCTGAGGCTGGTTTTGAACTCACAATCCTCCTGTCTCCGCCTCCCGAGCCACTGGGAATACAGGCGTGCTCTACTGCACCTGGTTCTATAGATGAGAAAAAGAATCTGCAGTATATAGCTTTGTTTACGTATCACCAGATCCAATGTATGAGTTATGAACAAACTAATATTTTAGATGTTGATTGCCTGTTATGTAATAGGCATAGTTCCCATCTGAGTCTCATATAGATATAAGTTTTTCTGCATATTAAAGAGAAACTAATACTCTCACTTTATCCACCAATCCTCTGATATATCAATTTAATTACTCAAGTGATTATATATTTAACTACTTGAATTTATTACTAAATTGTCTGGTTAAATTAAAATTAATGAACTTCTTACACTAATATAGCTTCTTACATTTGTTCCATTCCTCTTCACTTAAACAATCGGTTTTGTTTATATCATGCCATTTATCCCTCACCAGGATCTACTCAGGGCTCTTGGTTCTTTACTTGTAAAAACCAAGGCTCTGTGGGGAACAGTGAAAAAGTACTGACTRCAAGATCAGGTGCTCCGATTTCCCTTCCGAGTCTCAGTGGCCACAAGAGATGGAAAGGGGCAAGACCAAAGCAAGGGGACCAGTAGGACAGATGTCGGCCCCTATTTACTTCATGACTTTTGGGGAGGGAGAGAGTTGATAGGCTTGTGGGATCCAGCCAGCAGGTGAGTGAAGGACAGTGAAGAGTCAAGTGACACTCAATTTCTGGTAGGGGTTGTATGGCCAGATGGAGCTTTACCCTACTAAATGACGATGATGTGAAGACATCATCACACTGGCATCCTCCCTATACACCCTTGGAGTGGTCTAGGCACTGAAATGAGCATAGCTGAAAAATTGAACCCCCTCCCCCAGTAATTACAGCTATAAAATTCTGAGTTATAAAGAAAAGGGAAAAAACCACCACCACCACCACCATTGATTTGTTGCATATTTCAGAGGATTTCTGGAGAAATGGTGAATTTATACATAAGATATTGTCTTTGGGACAACCTTTTCAAAAAAAGGGTTTTGTTAAAATTATTATTATATGAGTTGTGACTGGCAAGTAAGAAAAATGACCAGAAATGTTTTAAAATGGCATCTTTAAATGATTTAGTACTGTGAGTGTGTCTAATTCAGTGAGCAAGACCTTAAACTTTGCATGTTGAGCTCCCCACACTGTGAAGTTAGCCTATATCCCTCCCTTCTCCAGCCTTGAGCCTTTTGGGGGGCTACTTAAATATTTTCTCTTGGAAAATTATAATTGCAAAGTGAGAAAAAATGGGGTGAAGCTATGGTTAGGTGGCCATCTCTAGTTCTTTGCTGTGAAAGAAACACACTGCTTTTCCTCTGTATCTCTTCTTGACTATGTTTCTCTCTGAGTTCATTAAAGTAAATGGGCTATAGTATGTTCATGAGTTTTTTCCTTCCAATTGTTTTCTCATATGCATAAAACTGATGAGCTCTGCATAATAGCCCAACTTAAGACATAAAAAATTATCAGACACATTGGRTCAATAACTGAATAGTAGTAGAACTTCTAACAACATATATTTTTAGAAAGAGAAATAATTATGCCTTTATATAAATGTATTTAGTTGTGAAAAAGCTCTTTCTGGCTAGGGGACCCTGAGCAAGTAAAAATCTTAATAGTACAGATGTTCTGAGAAGCATTCAGTACACTCA